AGTTGTGGCAAGCTAGAGGGACACACACACGGCAGCATGGCCGGCTCAAGCCCGACGCAAAAAGCTCATCCACCCATGAGGCCCGCTAAAGCAACTCCCCCCCCCCCCACCACCAGCTGCTTAGGATCAACCACACACACACGCGCACGCACCTGCTTGAGTATGTTTGTGAAGTAGTGGACCAGGTTGCGGTAGGGGGCTGGGTCGCGCCGGATCAGCTCCCGCAGGCCGCACAGCGAGGCCACCATCACAGACGGCTCCTGCGCGCGCGCCAGGCAGGGTCGCCCGGGGCCGCCAGCCCGCTCAGCATCCGGGGCCACGCCCTGCCGCTGCCGCCCCTTGCGCGCCTCGGCCGCGCCGCCGGCACCTCGATGCCACCTTCCCCCGTCTCCCCGTCTCCCCCGTCCCCCTGCATCCCACCTCCACCCCCACCCCGCGCCCACCTTGTAGCCGATCTTGTCTATGAGGTGCCTCTCCAGGTCTGGGGCCACCCCCGGGTCCACCTGTATGCAGCGCTGCATGGCCAGCAGCGCCTTCTTCTTCACAAGGTCGCGGTCGTGGCGCAGCAGGGCGGTGACCTGGGGCAGGAACACGCCCACCAGCTCCGGGGACACGATGTGGCAGATGGCTGACAGCGCGGTGCACACTGCAGGGGAGGGAGGGGGAGCGGGGGCAGGCGGGCGATGAGGGATGGGCCGCCAAGAGGTGGCCCAGCGGGCAGGCCAGCAGGACGAGGCTGCGCTGGCCAGGGCACCAACACACCAGGCGGCACCGGGGCCGCCTGCCTCCACACGCTGCCGCTGCAGGGCCCACAAGCGCGCTGCGTGCCCTGAACACCCCGCTCCGCCCTGCCCCGCACCCGTGAGGAAGTTGTCTGAGCGCATGTCTGCCTGGATGGTGGCCACCACCATGATGCTCAGCTCGCTGGCTGGGTCCAGCAGCAGCGACACGGCCAGGTAGGCCAGCTGCGGGGGAGGTGCGCGCAGCGCAGCGGGGCGCCGCGACGGCGTCAGGGCAGCGCAAGCGAGCAAGGGGCCACCGCAGACAGGTGTCCCCATCTTGCCTGCGGCCTGCCTGTCACCGGCTGCACCTCCAGCCACCAGCCGCGCAGTGCCAGGTGCCGTGCTGGCAACAGGAACAAGCACGCCTGCGCCCGCCCGCTGCAGCCCGCACCGCACCTTCTTCACCGCCAGGTTCTTGTCGCTGCACAGCTGGATGGCGGTGGCCTGCGCCCAGGCGGTGTCGTGGCCCAGCATTTCGATGTAGATCAGGTACACCAGCAGCTCCTTCTGGCCGCGCGGCTCGCGCCGCCCCTCGCGGATCTTCGCCTTGCTCAGCTCCACCAGCTTGCCCACGATCGCATCCTCCTCGCTCTTGGACTTGGACTCGCCGACGGCGCGGATGAGCTGCGGCGGAGGCGAGGGGCGAGGAGGGTGATGCGTGGAGGCAGGGGCTCCTCGACGCAGCAAGGCGCAGGGCGGCACAGAGCGGCAGCGCAGCCAACCAGCGAGGCTCCGGCCCGCCCGCTCGATCCAGCGCTGCTCGCGGCACGCTCTCCTGTCCACCATCTGAATCTGAGCAACGCGCCGAGGCGCCAGGAGCTGCGACAGTGCTCGATCAGCGCGCACCTCGTCAAAGACGCCAGACACGGGCAGCGTCCTCTTCGCCATGGCGGCCACTTTATTTGCTAGGTCCATGGCTGCTGCCCGCTCCAAACAAACCAGGCACTGCAGCCCTGTAAGGGCAGCCGATCGAGCAAGCGAGACCCCCAACCAAGCCCAGCCGCAATGTGGGAGATGTCCAGTAGAGCGGAAGCGGGGCAAAGGGGGGAGTCTGGCTGACCTGGCAGTTGACCGCGGGGCGCCGCCGCTGGCAGCCCCTCGCCCCGAATGCCGCTACCTGGTGTAGAGAGGGCATGTGGAGCCGAGCCATGTTTACATTTGTCAATGCAGAGGATGTGCAGGTGCGTAATTTATTGGTACAGCAGCCGAGGGGCCTCCCCCGCCCTGGGGCTCACAGGAGCGGGAGCACGGCAGCTGCGCAGAGCAAGTGGAGCAAGGAAGAGCGAGCACAGCAAGAGCAGGAAGGCAGGCGGCGCATGCAGAGCTCGGTCATCGAGGCAGGTTGGCCATGAACTGCGGCAGGGCAAAGGGTGGATGTGCCGCTGTCGGGCTGCCTATAGTTGAGCCGCCACAACTGGACATGTTGAGGTTGGCATGCAACACCAGCACACAGCAGCACGCTGCGAAGCACAAGCAACATCCCTGCAGTCCCCGCCCACCTCGTTGTACGCGCTCTCCAGGTCGAACAGCAGCTGCCGCACATCGTCGTCCTTGAGCTCGTGGCTGGCGGGCATGCCGTGCAGCTTGCTCATCCACGACCGCACCGACTTCTTGCCGTTCATGTCGGGCGGCAGCGTGCTGACCTGCGCTCACGCGGCGAGCAGGCAGGAGGCGGCGGCAGGGCGTTCGCTCAACGGGTTCACAGCGTTCCTGCTGGCTTCCGAACCAGCTGTTCCGTGTTCAGGGCAGGTGTTGGGGCAGCAAGCAGGTGTGAGGCCTTTGCTCAGGCGCCGGCCTCCTGCCCCGCCACCCCCCTGCACTGCCCCTGCTGCTGCCCCTCCCCCCCACCTTCATCATCGCCTGCACCAGGTCGCTGAGCAGCGGGTAGATCTGGTCCACCGCCACCATGTTGAGCTTGAGCGAGTCCATGGCGGTGATGAAGTGCTGCACCGTCTCCGCCACCGCAATGGCGGTGGAGGCGGTGGAGTCGCGCGCCGGCCGCACGTTGTGCTCTATGGTGGCGGGCATGCCCGAGTGGATCAGCCGCTTGGCTGCCATGGGGCACTGCATGTTGTAGGTGGCCATGAACTGCTCCACATCGGGCACCTGCACACAAGCAGGAGACAAGAGGCAAGACAAAGGTCAAGGGTTCGCACCAGGCTCGGCACGACAAAGCAGAGGCATGATCAGGCTTGCCGGCTTCCAAACAACAAGCAATCAAGGCGGCAGCCCATGGCAGAAGCCTGCCCCACACCGCCAGCTGGCACGCTCACCGAGCTGCGCACAGTGTCCCACAGAGTGCGGAACTGCCCTATCAACTTCTCACACGCCAGCTCATCTGCACAGAGCAGGAACCACGGCAGCTGTTGGAAAGTGTGGGATAGGTCAGACACTGGCCACAAGGAGCTGGCGAGGTGCTCCAAGCATCACACAAGTCCGACAAGCGCCTTCCAGAGACGCACACTCTTTGGCGCTGATCCCGTCCCGCACATACGCCCGCTCTAGCTTCTCTGTCGTCTTCAAGATGGCATACAAGTCTGCATTGCAATGTGTGCTGATTCAGGAATGTCCAAGCTGCTGGACTGTCCAAGCAGAGGCAGCAGGCATGGCACAAAGTTTGTTTGCCGGACGGGCGCGGGCAGCGGCACCCGCCACCGCCTGCGTGCAGAGCTGGTTCAGCTCCCCCTCCTGATCCACCCTCATGTGCCCACCTGCATACTGTTCCAGTATTTCACGCTCCTTTTTGTTTGTGAACCGCACCAGAAGCGTGTCCAAGTTCGCATCCCCGCAGTTCATGGCCGCTCCCGGCCCACGTCGCAGCTCAGGAATGGACTGCGATCACCACCATGGGACGGTGAGCCCCGCCGCTGCCTCCTTGAGGACGCGCCAGCTCGGCCGCCTTTCCAGCGCTGCATTCGCTCAGCAGGCTGCTCTGATGCACAATCAGAGGTCCACCCACTGCAGCCTTGATCAGGAGAGGATGGGGGCATGGAGGGAGGTGCAGGTGGGACCGCAACAACTTGTTTTCACGGCCTGCAGTCTTGGGCCCTCCGACACTGCTTTTTATGTGCTCTGCAGACGGATCCCGGGAGTGAAGCGCCGCCGGGGCGCGGTGGGGCGGCCTGCTGTGCTATTGGCGGGCGCCGCATACTCGTGTACGGCGGCGCCGACCGCTCGCCCGCCGCCTTTGACGACTGGTGGGTGCTGGAGCTGACAGAGTCTGGGGGGCATTGGACCAAGGTGTCGCCCGTCGTCAAACTGACGCACAAGTGAGCGCCAGTGCTGCTGCGGCAGCGAGGGCGAAGGGCACCGGCGGCAGTGCGCACGCCTGCGCAAGTGGACCGCTGCCGTGCTGCCCACCATCACGCCCCTGCCTGTATGTGCAGGCGTAAGCTGCTGCCACGGAGCGGCGCCAGCCTGACCTTCATCCCGGACGCAGACGGCGGTGGGGGCGGCAAGGCGTACTTGTATGGTGGGCAGGAGCCTTTGGCTGGCATCATCTTTGACGATGTGCTGGTGAGGGGCCCTGCCGCAGCTGATGGTTGCCTGCATCCACCCATTTTCCCTTGATCTGCTGTGGGATGGTGGCGGCCCACCTGCGGCCACCTGCGGCTGTGTTCCGTGCCTGCCACAGATGTGGCAGAGGAGGAGCTTCACATCGCTGGGCGGCCTCCCCAGCCTCCGCCCTATCCCTTACCGTGTTGCGCCTGCCACCGTGGCCGCCACCTGGCCCGCAGTGCCTGGACACGGCCAGCTGGGAGCTGAGCGACGTGGCGCTGGAGCGGCCGCCCCGCCAGCCCAGGCAGCCGCACCAGGCGCAGCAGCCGCCGGGCCGCCACTCGCACGTGGCTGGCGCCTTTGAGGGGTCGGGCGTCGTCGTGTTTGGCGGCGCGGGGCTGCGCGGCCCGCTCAACGACGTCTGGCTGCTGGATGTGTCGGCGCGGCGGTGGCGGTGCCTGTCGGCTGAGCTGGCGGAGGAGGAGTGCCCGGACGGGCGGGAGATGGCGGCGGGGACCATGATCTCAGAGGCGGGCCTGCTGGTGCACGGCGGGCGGGGCGCCGACGGCGCGCTGCTGGACGACATGTGCATCTTTGACGGCAGGGCGGGGCGCTGGGTGCTGATCCAGGCCACGGGGCACGCGCGCTGCGCCCACGCCGCCTGCAACGTGGCGCCGCCCAGCCTGCCGGCGGGCGGCGGCGGCGGCGCAGCGGCAGCGGCAGCAGCAGCAGCGGCAGCAGCAGCAGCAGCACGGGGTAGAGGCGGGGGGGCCATGGGCAGCGGTGCGCCGCCGCCGGCCTCCAACGTGCTGCTCAGCTTTGGGTTCACGGGGGAGACGGTGGCGGGGGACCTGCTGCAGCTCAGCTTCCTGCGCCAGCAGCGCACCTCGGGTGAGGCAGGAGGCATGGGCAGCAGGCGCAGCGCAGCGCCAGCGGGGGCCAGCAGGCAGGCGCGAGGCGCGAGTCCTCGGCCCTCTGTCCATCCCGCCTGGCCAGCGCTGTTGACTCGGCATGCCCCAGCACACACTTCCCATGCCTGCCTGCAGGCGCCTATGGGCTGCGAGCGGAGCTGCGGCCGGTCAAGGCGGGTGCAGAAGGGGCGCCGCCGCCGCGATTTGCGCATGCCGCGGCGGTGCTGTCTGGGCCGGAGGCGGCGGAGCTGGTGGTGGTTGGGGGCGTGAACCAGACGCACGACCTGTCTGATGTGCACGTGTGGAGGGTGGTGTAAGCAGGCCTCTGATGTGCACGCAGAGGGAGATTAATTCAAGCAGGCTGCAGGCAGGCCTTCTCAGTTGAGTCAATCAATTGTTGCAGCAGGTCGGCTGGCAGGTCAGGGGCACTTGGACTCCTCAACGCACAGCACCGCCTGGCCGCCGTGCGCCGCGGCAAACTCAGCCACGCGCCGCTCGCTGTCGGGGTCGGCGCTGCCGCCCACGATGCCGCCCCACTTGAGCTGGGCGCCGGGCCCCAGGGTGGCGTGCTCGTACGTCCAGTCCTCAAACTTGTGCACCCCGCCCTCGGGCAGGAAGATCTGCACGGCGGCGGTGTGGATGAGGGCGTCGCCCCAGCGGTGCGTGTATATGCCGCCGGAGCGGTCGACAAACTCCAGGAGGCGGCGCACGTCGGGGCGCTGCCAGAAGGGCACGGCGGTGAGGAAGAAGTTGTTGTAGAAGGAGAAGCGGCTCCAGCCGGCGCCCGTCAGGCCGTCCAGGCTGGCGGGGGTGCAATGGGCGAGCAGGTGGGGCGCATCGCCCTGCGGGTACATGTCCAGGTAGGCGCGCAGTGTCTCGGGGAAGCCCGTGGCGCTGGTGGGCCACTCGGTGAAGGAGATGCGGTACGCGTAGGTCAGGTCGCGGTCCCGCATGAACTGGGTGAGGTTACTGGATGGGGCTGTGGATGAACGACTCCTCGTCCAGCCGCATCACCCACTCGTAGCCAGCCTCGGACGCGAAGGTCCAGAGGTGCAGCGAGAACCAGCGGATCATGTGGCGGTAGCCGATCGAGAAGCTGCAGGCGGGCAGGTGGGTGGGCGGGGTGGGCGGTTGGGTGGGGGTAGCCCCACACACGTGAGGTGGGAGACCGAGGGGCACCCACGTGTGCCAGAGCAGGCTTCACCCACCCCTGGTCGTGCCAGCTGGGGAAGTCGTCCTCGCTGAGAAAGTACGGCAGGCGCCAGTAGCGTGCCGGGATGCGCAGGAAGTGGATGTCGGGCCTGCCTGCGATCAGCTGGGCCTGGTCCTCCGCCGAGAAGTCGCCTGCACCCCTTGGCATGCGCACAGCTCGCTCATGCGATGCGTGGTTGGATGCCCTGATCCGCTGATGAGGCCCGGCCTCCTCCTAGGCGCACCTTCATGAAACACGAGCACGTCTGCCGTGGTCCAGGGCAGCACGTGTTGGTGCACCAGCTGCAGGCTCTTCTCCAGGTTGGCCATGCTGCTGTCAGCCTTCTTGGTGAGATACACGATCGCCAGGCGGTTGCGGGCCTGCCAGGCCGGCTCGTCGGCAGCATCGGCGGCGGCGGCGCTCAGTGCTGCCGCCGAGCTGCCACTCTGTGGGGGGACACAGTGCTCGCTTGAGCGATAAGGGGCGGCGTAGGGGGCACCTATGACGACGAGGAGGAAAAAGGCGAAGTAAGCGAAGAGGGCTGCCAGCTTTCTGGCGACAGAAGCTCGCTGGGGCTTTCCAAACTTGCGCATTCTGCTAATTGCAGGGAGCAAGGCGCCAGCAGCGAAGCAAGCAAGCCAGGGCCGCACTTGGAGCTCAAAAAAGAGCTGATGGGCATTGAGCAGGGCAGGGTGGACGGATTGAGAGGGACTCCTTAAAATGAATCCGGCATTTCACTGGTTGCCATGTGGCATCACACAGATGAACATCTTAGTGGCTAAGATGTGTGTTCGAGAGGAACAACAGCACTGCACGCAGTGTCATTGCCGACATTGTGACGGCACGGCGGCAGAAGGGCAGCGGGCACAGCACCTGGCTGGGGCACCACTGACTGTACCAGCAGGGGATATTTCAGCACCCTCAACTGATGGTGCTGCCGGAGACCAGGAGCAGAGACGTCCCCATGCCCCCCTGCAAGCATGGCTGGAGACACTCAAAACCCTACAGCACGGTGACGCATGACCGCTGCACCATTATGCCTGCAACCATGGCGTGCTCTCCCCCACAATCCTGCCCATTACCACGACCCTGTGATCATGCCAATGTCAGGGGATGCAACAGCTGTCGGCGGCTTGGTTGCGGCGAAGCAGGCCAGGTGCTGCCGAAGTGTGCTGGTGCCGCCCATGGCAGAGCAGAGGTGGTGAGTGAGTGAGGGTGGAGGACGGGGCACCTTGTGACCTGACTTCACGTTTTGTATATTTGGGATAATTTGCGCACGATGACGGTGAATGAATGAGGCAAACATTGATGCACTGGGCGCAAAACAATGGCGGCGCCACCTAGCCCGCCAGCCGGGCGCCAGCGGTCCTTCTGGCAGGCGACATGCTGGCCCCGATGTAGGCTCCACACTCGCTCTACTGATCTATCAGCTGCACAAGATCTCGCCTGTGGGAGCCGGACTCGCGATGGCGAGCCCGCCATGAGCATGACCACTCAGCTGGTTGTAAAGGCGTAAGGGCCTGTGTGCTTGCTGCATTGACCTAACCATCAGCGCAATCGTGGCAGGTGCACAGCCGTCCAGTTACCATCGCTCCCGCCCGCCCGCGCGCCGCCTTGGCTGCAGCGTCGGCGGGCGAGCGGCAGGCGAGGTCGACCTGGCAGCGCTAGTGCAGGCCTCCCTTGTCCAGCTCTTCGGATCCATCGGAGGCGCCATCCCCCTGGAGTTTGAGAGCATCACCTCTGGCAGCGGCGCGGAAGGGGTGGTCACCGTGGACAAGCGGTGAGCAGGAACAGTTTGTGGCGCCTGGCTGGCAACAGGCCGAGCACTGCGCCGCCGCCGCAGCCTGCCAGCCCTGGCAAACACCGACAGAAGCCTGAGCATGGGGCGTGCAGGGACGAGGCCAAGCTGCGCTCAGCGCTGGCACTGGTGTCCAGCTACGGAGGGAAGTCGCTGCGGCTGGAAGTGACGGAGGCGGACGCGGCGGGTGGCAGCAGATAGCGGCGCCGGGGCGTTTTATGCCACCTGTGGCCGCACCACGCAGCGCTGCAATAGCTTGTGCCGGCGGCCTCGCCTCTGCGTGGCTGCTGTGGACCGTCTACCGGCGGCAGGAGCACAGGGGCGGTGGGGGTTGGATGCTGGGGCGGCTGGTGCAGAGGTTGGCAGGAGCGGCAGGCGGGGCCCAGGCGGGGCGGCACCCGCAGGATGAGGATGATGAGGGGGACGAGGTGCCAGAGGCAAGTGGCATCGGCACAGGCGCAGGCAGTTCATGGGCAGCACGCGTCCTTTCCTCCTGTCCTTCATGAGGTCCTCCTGAACCCCCTGTGACCCGCTCTGTTGCCACCTGCCCACCTACTGCCCCTGTGTCCCACTCCACACGCCCCAATGCTCGCCACGGCGGGGTGCCTGCTGCACCGCAGGATTTTATGGACCCCATCACATTTGCCTGCATGCAAGGTGCGCGCCACGCAGCTGGCCGCCCTCACTCACCAACCCCCGCCTGCCCCGCCTCCTGCCTGGCCCTGCCCTCTCCCCAGCCAGCAGCGTCAGGCCGCCTGCGGGGCTGCCACCCCGCCCCGCCCCACCTGCAGACCCGGTGCTGCTGTGTGGCACGGGCCAGATCTACTGCCTGTCCAGCCTGCGCGCCTGGCTGGACACAGGCAGCCGCACCTGCCCCAAGACAAACGTGGTGATGAGGGATGTGGAGGTGCGGGCGCGCGCGCCTGGCGCCGCATGCCGCTGCCGCTGCTGCCGCCGCTGCTGCTGCTGCTGCTGCTGCTGTGCAAGCAGGGCGGGCGCTATGCAAGCAGGGCGGGCGCTATGCAAGCAGGGCGGGCGCTGGCTGGGGGAGTAGCTGGCAGCAGGCCGCAGCGCAGCAGCAGCCTGGCCAGCTGGCTGGGCCTAATGCAGCCTGCCTTCTGCTGGCACCCCGCCCCGCCGCAGGTGGTGCGCCTGCCCTCTGTGCGCAGCCGCATCGCCGCCTGGCGTGCGTCGCAGGGCCTTCCGCCGCTGCGCCCGCTGGACCCGCCGCCAGAGGTGGTGCGGGAGGCGGGGGCGGGCGTGGCGCAGGCGCTGGCGGGCCTGCGTGGCGGCGACGTGTACCGCCGGGGGCTGGCTGCCGGGGCGGTGAACGACATGCTGATTGAGTGGGGGCGGCTGGAGCCGCTGCCCGCGCGGCAGCAGGTGATGGAGGTGAGCAGCGGCGGTGCAAGTGGCGGGCAGGCTGTCGGGCGGCCCGCTGGCAGCGGTGCGCCCGCGGTGCTGCGTGGCGGATGCCCTGTCCCCCGGGCGCTGCTCCCCCCTGCCCGCGTGACCCCCTGCCCGCCTGCTGCACCCCCGCCAGGCCATGCTGCTGGATCTTGTGTGGTTGATGCGGCAGGGGACCCCTACGGCAGCGGCGTGGCGGCG